TTGACCTACTTAACGTATACAAACCGTATAAACAGGACTGCTGTGTCTACTTGGCGCGATAATCGTGATTAGAGTCCCAAATATGATAGCTTAGCCAAAGTTTTGATGAAACCACGATTTTGGGATTTTATGTCTCTTGGTGTTAATAGCACCCAGAAAGTCAAAGAGTAGGAAGTGATAGTAGCACCTGTTATTGCTGAAATTTCTTCTTTCTTGTGACTAACGTCTCTCCTAGATACTACTCTTTTTCCCAACGATTTTGTATTCTGGCAAAACTCATTCTCTCCCATGTTTCACATACAAATCGCATCATCCACCTCAATTTTATATAGTTTTGTTCATAACTCCAATTTTTTTCAATTTGCAATTGATGCAAAGCAGTTTCAAAGGTTTGACTGCCAGGATAACCCCTCCTGGATCACAACTTCTGGATCGGAATTTTCCGCTTCTTCTGATTACATGGTATGAGGCGGAATGCATATTGAAGATTTACCATTTTCTGATCAATCGTTCAGAATCTCGATGCCATCTAAAGCCAATTTCGAAATTACTGCAAATTACTGTCTGCCTCTCGGCCTATACATCCCGAATTTCGCTAAATTTTTCAAAATTCTTTGACGTGATCCCAACGAAATTTCCTTATCATGATGGTTTGGCTAACGCCGTGCAAAGCGCAAACGCCCTTAACTTCGTAACTTCCTCAGCGCCTGTTCCCGCGAGTGATTCTCACAATCAGATACAAACTGCTAGGTGAATGGTATACCTTCAGCGGCATTTCTGAACGGTAGTCCTTGCCACCGAACTCATCCGTTATCACCGCAACATTCTCGCCGTTCAAGTTATGTGAAGCAGCCTTTGGGACTGCAAAACAGTACATAATGGCATTCTAAGGCAAAAATGAACAGAACACCAACCGGGTGCTGCTGCCTCTTTCTCCACTTGCTTGTCGACAGAACTGTTCGAGAAACCTTCTTCCGAATTGAATTCGGAGTTGTACGTTTCCCAGCGACCTCTCCGCTTGCGCTCACGGCGCGACATTGCCTGAAAAGTGGGCGGTACGGGAGACAGACGAGCGCACGTCGATTTCGAAACAGAAAGGTGAGAACGAGAGAAGCAGAGCCCCACAAATAGCGTAGAGATTGAGAGGTAAAAAAGCTAAGCCCCGCCCACAATGTTCAGTTGCACTATGAGGGATGGGTTGCGCGAAGTTTCTGGCGATTGGCAAAAGTTTAGGTGCTTCTGATCTTTCTTCAGCTCGTGTTTTTTGCTGTTCCCGGGGTAAAGATCAACTTTGAGTTTGAAAGACATGCTTGCGCGCCCCCTCTTCACCTTTTTAATCTTCCAGTTT